TGACACCAATGGGGAAATAAGATGCTTGGGGCTTGTCAGCACCTTCCAGTTTTCTATGACACCCTTGTCATGGCTGCTGAAACGTGAATTTCCAGCCGTATCCCTTTGATTGGACTTTGTATCTTGATCGAAAATTTAATACTTCTGAGTACCATGGAGCCCATCACATCAGCACAAGTTTATCTTCCCACCTTAGGTTTTTCTTCTTTGTGAACTCTATTGGAGGACTCTCTTGAAGTTTGAGGGTATCAGTGAATGAGAGTTTTGTGGGGACACAAAGGACAGGTAGAATTGTTCCAAGTTTGTTTATGTACTTTTTTCACTTTCTTTTTTCTTGTCTTTTTGATATGCTGTTCTTGTTCCCCCATAATGCACCGTGGCATGATAGAAATAGCTCTGGACTTGGATGTCCCCGCTCTGAAACTTAATAGCTGCCTGACCTTGGGCATTTCAGTTTACATCTCTGAGCCTCAGTTTCCTCCTCTGTTAGGGGCCTCAAGAATTTAAACAGTTTTCAAAATTGACCTCCCTAGGTCAATTGAAAGAATGTGGAGAAATATATGGAGAAATGGAGAAAATACTTTGTGGCTGGCCAGGCATTTGGAGGTCTTCAAGGAGACCCTTCTAGAAGAGTCAGTCAACCCCCTTGTCAGGATTATTGTGTGAGGGAGATCCCTGCTTAGCCGTGGCTTAGCTGTGATGCGCTCTGAACTTCCTTCCAGTTCTTAGAACCTGTGATTCAGAAGATGGCAATAACAATATTTACACCATCTTCCTTTATGATGAAAGAGTTTTCTGAAGGTTAAAGGGCTTTCAGAACATGAGCTGCTCAGGGAAGCTAGGTGATGCAGTGGATAGAGCAACTGGCTCTGAAGTCAGGAGGACCTGAGTTCAAATCTGGCCTCAGACCAAACACTTGACATTAGCTGTGTGACCCTGGGCAAGTCATTTAACCCCAATTGCCTAAAATTAAAAAAAAAAAAGAGCATGAGCTGCTGCTGCTGATATTTCACCAGCATTTTGAGTACAGGAGCTTTGAATATGAGTTCTGCTAGAAGCAGAAATTGATTATTGTGTTTGCCATCCCCATTTCCTGCACAAGGCCCTTATTGGAATCAGAATTGAAGGGGGAAAGTAGAGATCAGCTAGTTCTTCCCTCTTATGTTCCAAGATGAGGAAAAGTGAGACCTAACCAGGTGAAGTGATTTGCCCAAGGTCACACGAGTAGATGGTAGCAGCGCTAGAGCTGTGATGAGAATTGCATATGAGAAAGAACAGCTACTATGTGAGAGAATTTCTCTACTGCACATGTCCCATGTTATAGTACGAATGGTAAATTGGTAAGATGATTTATAAAAAAATAGATTTTTTTTATTGGATTAATAATCTGTTACAGTTTACCAAGGCACTTGACAATCCAGGAACCACTAATTTTCATAAAGTACCTATTTGCTAGGTACGGTTAAAACTGTTAAAAACATTAACCTGCACACACAGCCCTGGGGCCCCTAGATCCTTGGGGCGCTGCACCAAGATCTCTGAGCCAACTTAATAGGGAACTGTTAATGCCTACTCGTAGAGTCTTCCATTCAGCTGGTTCAGAATCACTATAATTGCACTATCTTCTAACTCATGTTTCTGTATCTCTTTTTTTTTCTTTATAGTTTTCCTTTTATTGTGAACTTAGCCTTTGTGACATTGCTGGGTTTAATAGAAGGGAAATTCTTTTAGTCACGCTGTTTGTCTTGGCAGCTTAATAAATATAAATAATGTGTGACTTAAAAAGAGGATTGTGTATGAAACTGTGCTTTTGTTACGTACAATTTGTTTAAAAGGGTGTATATGAAATGTAACTAGGTAGTAACAAAATTGCCCTGTTTGTTTTTGTCTCCTGAACTACTTCTGGTTTGCTTTTGTGTATTTTTTGTTTTATTGCTGCTCTTTACTTTTTTATATATTACTTTCCACTGACTCACCCTTCCATCCTTTTCCCCCCAGTATTGTGAGATGTTTAATCTAGGTAAACCATGGCTGCAGCACTCCCCTGATTTACCAGTTTAATGACTCCTGGCCCAGGGTTCTTTATCCTCTCCCTCACGAGATACCGGGCTCGTTGTAGGTGTTAGAATGTGTCAGTGATGAGGATTTCATTGGCGTGGTTACAGCGCTCTTGTCCCCATCAAATTATTTTTTAGTGGAACATCTCTAATGTAAGCTTAGGTGGTGTTCTTGGAGATATTCTGGATTAATGAAGAGGTCTGTGCCTCTCCCCATTAAATTATTTGATATTTAGGGCTGCTTATCAAGTATCTGAAGCTTAGTTCTCCCTGACTTTGCAAGTATAAAAGGGGAGTGGAGAGTTGATACTGTAATCAGCAGAAACAGCTTCTCACTGAAATGCCAGTTGGTGAAAGGGCCGGAGGAGTGAGATAGTACTCTGAGAACAATGGGGGAAATGCGGTCTCCGAGGCTGATTGCAGGGAAGGTTCTGCCCGTTACCTGTGATGAAGGAAGGTCTTGGTACCCCTTTGCTGTCTTTGTAGTAGGATGAACCCTGGACTGGATTAGATCTGGATTCTAGACTGGGCTTTTTCTAGGCCATTCTAGACCACAGAATTTGCCCTATGACCCCAGACAAGTCATTTATCCTTTCTAGGTCTTGTTCCCTTTGTTGTGAAATGAGGAGATTCCACAAGATCATTTCCCTTTAGACCAAGAGTTCTTAACCTTTGCATTGGAACCCTTTGTCAGTAGGGTAAAGCCAGCTAACTTGTGGTGGGGACCGATGGCGACCAGAGTTGTTATTCTACCTGCTGCTCAGATGAGGCAAGGCTAGGGCTGGGTCTTCCTTGACTCAGCCGCCGGCTGGCCTCTGCCTGCTTTGATATATCACCCTGGTCACATTAGGAGCATAAAAGGTCTAAACTACATGGGAACATACCCTTTGGGTTTGGTGCATACCAGAAAATTGTAAGTTAACCACACTGTCCTCTGCTAAGTCAGTGGGATTCCAGGGGTGTAGGGGAGAGGGTGGGTGGGCAGACAGCAAGCCCATAGAGACTGAGGGTTACTGTATCCTGGCTGCATGGCCTTGCCTTGTTAGGATTAAGTAAACCTCCTTTAATTAACTGCTCCATAGTCTGCAAGTGCCTGATCTCATTCCAGCACTGAGCCTGAACTAAAAGGGTGCTAGTATCAGCCTGTACCATGTTTTTAGTAATATAAAATACAGAGAATTACAAAGGAAATTAATTCTATTGAAATGAAGGGTTTTTTTAATTTTAAATTTTTTTTTTAGTTTTCAACATTCACTTTTATAAGATTTTGAGTTCCATATTTTTTTTCTTCCTTCCTCCCTTGCCTCCTTCCCAAGACGTCATACAGTCTGATATAGGCTATACATGTACAATCATATTAAACATATTTCCACATTAGTCATGTTGTGAAAGAAGAGTCAGAACAAGAGGGGAAAACCATGAGAAAGAAAAAAAGAAGAGAAAATAGTGTGATTCAATCTGCATTCAGACTCCATAGTTCTTTCTGTGGATGTGGATAGCATGTTCTGCCTTGAATGTTTTGGAATTGTGTTAGATCCTTGTATTGCTGAGAAGAGCTAAGTCTGTCAGAGTTGATCATTGCACAGTGTTGTTACTGTGTACAAGTGTTCTTCTGGTTCTGCCCACTTCACTCATCAGTTCATGTAAGTCTTTCGAGGTTTTTCTGAAATCATCCTGCTCATCATTTCTTTTAGAACAGTAGTATTCCATTACATTCGTCACAACTTGTTCAGCCAACTGATAAGCTTCCCTTCAATTTCCAATTCTTTTTTTATTAATTTTTTAAAAATTAAAATTTTTTTAATTTTTAGGCAATTGGGGTTAAGTGACTTGCCCAGGGTCACACAGCTAGTAAGTGTCAAGTGTTTGGTCTAAGGCCAGATTTGAACTCAGGTCCTTCTGACTCCAGGGCTGGTACTCTATCCACTTTGCCACCTAGCTGCCCCAATTTCTAGTTCTTGGCCACCACAAAAAGAACTGCTGTAAATATTTCTGTACATGTGGGTCCTTTTCCCATTTTTATTATCTCTTTGGAATAGAGACCTAGAAGTGCTATTGCTGGACCAAAGGGTATGCACAGATTTATGGCCCTTTGGGCATAGTTCCAAATTGCTCTCCAGAATGGTTGGTTCAGTTCACAACTCCACCAACAATGCATCATTGTTCCAATTTTCCCACAACTTCTCCAGCATTTATCATTTTCTTTTTTTGTCATATTAGCCAATCTGATAGGTGTGAGGTGGTACCTCAGAGTTGTTTTAATTTGCATGAAATGAAGTTTTTATCATATTAAAAAAAAACTGTTAAGTTCATGAACCCCAGATTAAGAAACCCTGATTTAGACCATTAGGCTGGAATTTCTACAGATCTCTCTCTGACTAATTACATCCTATTGAATTGGATCTCCTTAAAATAGAATCTTGCTCATAGGCACTATCTTTTCTCTCCTTAGTACCTCATAGAGCACACAGCATGCAGTGGGTGTGTGCAGATGTTATTTGCTCTCAGGATTGATCTATCATATATGATCCCTGGTTAGAGTTGGAAAGACTTTTTGAAGAGACTTTAGAAGCTTTTATATGGTAAAGTGGAGAAAATTCAGAACAGGACAGCCTTCACGATTAATTCCATAAGCTTATTAAGGTATTAAGGTACTAAGGCTAGGCATTTATTCTAGGGGCTGGATGTAAAGCAGAAAGTGAAACAAGTGGTTTATTTTCTCTTGGTGAGGATGACATGCCCTTCAGTTCATGCTATATGAGGAGCAGTAGAAGGCCTAGAGAAGACGAAGCTTAGGAGAGACAGGATTCAGTGGGTGAAGGGTTATCACTTGCAAGGAGGATTAGACTTGTTCTGTTTGTCCCCAGAGGGCTTACTGGGGAGTCTTGGACAGAAGTTGCAAAGAGGCAAATAGAGGCTTACTATGAGAAAGTTACTACGTACCAGTCTAAACCCTCCAGAACTGGCATGGTTCCAGCAGCAGGCGAGTGGATTCATCCCCCACTGGAGGCCAGGGTTTGATTTCCAGGGCACTAGATGAGGTCCCCCTTCAGCCCCTGAGGTGTTGAGCCTTTGTGACTATAGACTGTCAGCCAGAAGGAACCAACCTCTCCATTTTACAGATAGAAACTGAAGTTCAGAGAGAGAGAGAGAGAGAGAGAGAGAGAGAGAGAGAGAGAGAGAGAGAGAGAGAAAGAGAAAGTGACTTAGCCAGGGCTGCACTTAAGAAGCAGAGCTGGGGGTGCAGCCCAGCTAGTCCTTACTTTCTTTTGTCTGCACTTGCCTGAGGCGTCACATACTTTTGAATGCTACCTCTGGCCTGAAGATTTAGGGCTTGAGGGCCTCTTTAGTCCCTGCCACACCGGGAGTTATTAAACACATTTGGTCTGTCTGATTAGCCAAGTGCCCTTCAGGGAAAAGGGGCCATGGAAAGGAGATCCTTATGGGTTGGTTCTATGGACCAGTACTTACTTTAGAGGGTTTATTTTTGACTCTCAAGTTGCCCACTATGTTTAAATTTTGGGGTGACCCAGAGCCAGATCTGTCATCTGGAGAAGATGGCCGTCAGATGTTTGGGGTTTTTTTTCCCTCCATATTTTCTTCATGGGTATAGAGGAAGAAGAGACTCATTCTGAAAGTTGGTGAGGGCAAGATTGCTGTGAAGAAAACTGTCTGCACTTACTCAGCACAACTTGGCACAGCCACCCCCATGAGTCTGTGACCTCAGACTGGCCTGCCCTCTGAGCTTATGGAAGGAAGCAATATTCCCCTTATGACATCATCATCCTCATCATGATAGTAGCTAGCCTTTATATAGTCCTATGAGCACAGTAAAGTGAATACATAGAAATATGTGTGTGTGTGTTTGTATATGCACATATTTATATACTAGTTAAATACAAGGTAGTTGAGGCCTAGGGTTACTAAAGTTGGTGGTGGTGCTGAATCAGGAAAGGCTTCATGCAGAAGGTGATGCTTGAGTTGCACTTACATCTTTTTTTTTTTTGAGAGGCAATTGGGGTTAAGTGACTTGCCCAGGGTCACATAGCTAGCTAGTCAATATCTGAGACCAGATTTGAACTCAGGTCCTCCTTATTTCAGGGCCAGTGCTCTCTCCACTGCGCCACCTAGCTATCCCTTGAGTTGCACCTACATCTTAAAGGAGAAAGGGACTCCCTGAGATGGAGTAATGTCCATAGAGGTTGGGCAGCCCAGTTGCATAGGATTTTTTTTTTTGCTAGGCATTGGGGTTAAGTGACTTGCCCAGGGTCACAGAGCTAGTATTATGTGTCTGAGGCCGAATTTGAAGTCAGGTCCTCCTGACTCCAGGGCTGGTGCTGTATCCACTGCACCATCTAGCTGCCCCTGCATAGGATTTGAAAAGCTGAACAGAGGGGTTTTATGTTTTATCCTAGGGAGCACCTGGAGGTGATCGAGTTGGGGAGCCCCATAGTTAGATCTCTGTTTATGAAAGATCATTTTGGCAGCAGGGAGAGATAGACTGGAGTGGGGAGAGACTCAAGGCAGGGTGACCAAGCAGGGGGTGGGGGGTTATCAGACTAGGGGATGTGGTGGAAAGAGTGCTGAATTTGGAGGCCGAAGGTCAGGGTCTGCTGCTTGATATCTTTGTGGCCTCAGGCAAGGCCTCTAGGGCCTAATTTTATTCTCTACAATGGGAAGGTGGAAGGGTTGAGCCACATGGGGTTCAGCATCTTTCTGGTTCTTAATGTATGGTCCTTTGAATTTAGGCCTCTCTCTGACTCCTTCGGGAATCCCAGGGTCACAGATGTTGGGATCATAGGCCTAGAGTAGGGAAGGGATCCTAAGAGGCCATTGTACTCAGCCTGACCTCATTGGACAGAGGAGGTACCCAAGACCCCAAGCTAGAGACTTGGGCTGTATCAAATGAGGCGAGATTTTAGGGACTTACATGCAAAATCTTACACTTGGGTTTAGAAAAATGAACCTCCCAAAGTATAAGGTGGGTTGCTATGGCTAGATTGCAGTTTGTCTGAAAAAGCTCTGGGAATTCTAGGGGCCTGGGCCTGAAAGCTCAAGATGAGTCATCGATGTGATGTGATAGCTAGAAAAGTGAATGTGATGTTGGGCTGCCTTAAAAGAGGCCTGGCTTTCAGAAGCACAGAGGGGTGATAGTCCCACTGTTCTCTGCCCTGGGCAGACCAGCAGATTGTTTAGTTCTGGGCACCTTAGGCTATAGAGGACACAAGCCTGAGAACATCCCCGAGAAGAGAAACCGGGATAATAAAGGGCCTTCCGTCTGTGTCATTTGAGACGAAGCACCTGGTGGTGGTGTCCTGGAGAAGATTCAAGGGGAACGTAACTGTTCGTGTGTTTGTGGGGCTGTCATGTGGAAGTGGGATTATTAGAATTGTTCTGTTTGCCTCCAAAGCACAGAACCACAAATGATGGATAGATGTCGCAAAGAAGCGAATTTAACCTTGATGTCAGGAAAAACTCCCTAACAAGGAGAGCTATTCAAAAGTGGAATGGAATCCTTTATTTAGTAATAGGCCCTTCTTCACTGGTGGTCTTTACATAGAGGTTAAATGACCACTTGTGGACTATGTTCAAGTTGGAGATTCCTTTTTGGGTATGAGTTGGAGTGGACAGACACCAAAGTTCCTTCCAACTCTTCCATGATTCTGTGATATAAGAGGTGGTGGACACCTTGGAGCTGGGATTACACAATCATTTAGTTCAGTCTTCCCATTTCAGAGAGGAAGAGGCTGAGATCCACGTGGGTGAGTGGGGGTGGAGGGAGGGGAGAGAGAGAGAGAGAGACAGAGAGAGAGAAAGAGAGAGATTTCAGGTATCTGATGAGTAGCATGGGTCTGGCAGGTAAGACTTCCTAAAATCCTACCCTCGATATTTGACTTTACCAGGCACAAACATACACAGGCAAGTTACGAGATCAGTTTCAACTTTCCTTTCCAAACCCCTTTTAATTCCTGGTGTATGGATTGGATTCTGCTTAACTGCCCAGCCATCTTAGACCATCTGGTCCTGTCCTCTGAGCAAGCACCTTTTCTCATTCACCTCTGTCTTTCAGCTCCATCACAGCGTGCCAGGTCACTTTTGTATTCAAGCCAGTTAGTGTCAGCAGAATCATTATTATTATGTTTTTGGCCTGATGTAAAAGCATGAATGCTTTTGTTGTTGTTTTTTCCTCTGGGAAAAATAAAGGAGGGGGTGGGGGTTGGAAGCCAACCAAGTAGGATGGGGTGGGAAGATCTTTCAGTTTTAAAGATTAATCATTTGGGTCCAGCCTTCCATTGATTATGCATTTCATTAAAGTTCTTCCCCTGAAATTGTAATGATTCCCAAAGGAGCTGTTCATATCTTAATGGTCTTTAATGCACAGGTCATTGACATAATAGACTGTTAACAGCTCTAGAATGTTCTTGCCCTTCATCTTGGGGACTTAACAGAAACACTGAGCTGTTCCTGCTCTTGGGGGCTTGCCCTGAATGGGACAAGGCCTGATTTCAGCATTGATTTGTTGGTTGACTTACTAAGTTCCCACTTCTGTCAAAGTCTTGTGCTAGGCCCTGGAGGGGTGGAGTGGGAGTGGAAATAGAAAGTTAGGTTAAGACATGACCCTTGCCTTCATGGGACTTTTAGTCTACTAGGGGAAGGCATGTATAGTAATAATATATCCGTGCCTAGGGGAGGAGCAAAGAAAGGGCTGTTTGCAGGAGCAAGGTCATTATCAGCTTAGGGGAATGATAGGGGTGTTTGAGTTGGTTTTTAAATGGTAGAGAGGAATTTAATAATTGTACGAATGTTTGTGGGGCGAGGTGCTGGATTAAAGGCATGATGATGTGGGTAAAGACATGGAAATAGGATATCACTGCATTTTCCAGAATGTTACCTAGAGTGTTAAGTCTAGCAAGGGGAGCAGTAGGGGATGAGGCTGGACATGCAGGGTAGGGCCAACTCTCACCTCCTGAGTTCTGAGGTTCCCCTAGATCTGACATTTGCAGCTGCAGATGATTTCAGTGATTGAACCCAAAGAGTAGTAATTAATGGTTTGCTGTCAACCCAGAGCAGAGGGAGCTTCTTAACCTGCAACCCATGAACTTTTAAAAATATTTTGAATAACTGTTTCAGTATAATTCATTTCCTTTACAATTCTGTGTATTTTCTGTGTGTGTGTGTGTGTGTGTGTGTGTGTGTGTGTGTATGTGTGTGTGTTTTCTTTTATGCATTTAACAACATGATTCTGAGAAGTCCATAGACTTCACCAGACCTACTGCCAAAGGGGTCCAGGACACAAAAAAGGTTAAGAGGGTCCTTGACTTTGTTCATAGATTTGTCCTTATTTAATGACTTAATACCTTTATCAAGTTTTTAGATGACACAAAGCTGGAATAGTTGCCCAATAAGTTTGGTGGCAAAATCTAGAACATTGGGTCTAATCAAATAATATGGAATTTAAGAGATAAATGTAAAGACCTATCCTTGGGTTGTCTACAAAAGTCTACAAATATAGGATAATGAAGGTATGACTAGAAGTGGTCCATGTTTAAAAGACTTGGGAATTTTAGTGGATTGTAAACTTAGTGTAAGTTAATAGTGTGGCTTGGCAGCCAAATGGTAATGGGATTTTAAGTGCATTAAGAGAAGAAGAGTAAAGGCAATAGATAGTCTTGCTGCTTTCTGTCCTGGTAGTAGAGAGAATGCAGGATTTGGGGTCATGTAGACCTGAGTTCAAATCCTGCCTCAGATACTTGGGATCTTTGTGACCCTGGGCAGGTTATTTAACTTTCTGAGCTTCTGTAAAATGGAAGTGGCACCAGTCTCACAAAGATGTTATGAAGGTTAAGTGAGGTGATAGATGTCAAGTGTGTTGTCAACCATAATGCACTCTATAAACAAGAGCTGTCATTGTACTTATTATTTCAGTTCTGGGGACTGTATTTTATATCAGACATTGACAAACTTGAAAAAGTATTCAGTGGATGGCAGCCAGGGGACTCAAGGCTCTGCCTCTGAGGATTCATTGAAGGAACTGTGGATGTCTAGCCTGCAAGGGAGAAGGCTTGGGAGGGATGAGTATAGTCCAAAATTGCAGAGGCAAAATCAGCTACAATGTAAGGAAAAAATTCCTCCTAAGTAGAGTTTTTCAGAGGTGGAATAGGCTCCATCTGGAGGTGATGCGTCCCCTTCGTTGTCCATTTTCAGGTGGCTGTTGGACAAGCCTCCACTAGGGATGTTGGAGCAATGGATATGAACTCCTTAAGGGCAACGGCTGTTTAATTTTTGTTTTGTATGCCCAGCACCTAGCACAGCACTTGGCACTTAGTAGGTCCTTAGCATTTTTTTTTTATTGAATTAAGATACAGTCTCACCCATGTCATGATATTCTTTGAAAATGCTGAAATTGTAGTTATGGGATCTCAGTTTAAAACCATGCTCTGCTGCCTACTGTACCTGTATGATCTTTAACAATCAGGCAGCAAACATTTATTAAGCACCTACTCTGTGCCAGGCACTGTGCTAAGCATTGGAGATTCAAAAAGAGGCAAAAGACAGTCTCTGCCCTCAAGGATCTCACAATCTAATGGCAAAGACAGCAAGCAAACAAATATGAACATATAGCTATCTACAGAATAAATAGGAAATAATTAACAGAAGGAAGGTACTGCAATTAAGAGGAGTTAGAGAAGAGTTAATGCCACTCGGCCCCTGTA